ATAGTCGAGGGTATGCGTGACAAGTTGGACGTTATTGCGTGACAAGTTGAATGGTTTTAGAGATTCCAAAAGTCGTAAAACGAGCAGCATGTATAGCATTTCGTATTGATTTTATTTTAAGCGGCCTGTCTAATGATCCTGGTCTAGATGATAAAATATTTAAAACTTCAAATGTGATTCGATACTAATTTATTTAAGGCCCACTAGCGCCGCATCGCAATGCTAAAATTTGAATTTTTGTTTCAGGCCCCTCTTCGTCGCCATCATGAGTTTATGCTTCCTGGTACCCATCCAAATGAAGCCTCAATCGAGGAATCATGATATATTCACCAAACTTGGGCTTCAAAAAATCCGAAGTCCTAATACGCATCATCAGAAGCGGCTGGCTGTAGAATCCAGACAACACAGCAGATCTGATGATTCGCACATGTTTATCATCAAACTTCCTCCGAATCCCCACTACTACGGTTTAAATAAACTAAATTCCGTGCCAATGGATGCCAAGAAAATTCCGGTAGGATTTAAAAGTAATGGCAAGCCCGGAAAGGTTTATCACTGGAACCTCCCGGTGTTGAGAAAAATTGTTGAAAGCAAGCAGAAAAGTCGCACCAATGATTTGAATGTGGATCTAGGTCATCCAGAAAATTGGAACGACGTCTTCGATAAACAAGGTTACTCACATAGGAAACCTTTAAAACCGTCCTATTACGTCCCGCAAAAGACAAAAAAGTCCAACTTCATGAAATATTTTGGTGGAAATGGTAAACCGCAATCATTTTATGTAATACGGAAAAACAAGAGGGCGCAATATCATAGACTGATACGTTAGAATTTTGTAGTTTTCCCACACGACGTACACTGATTATGTTTGTAGATTAGTGTTTTTTTTGTGAAATAGTGCTTCATAGGAATATCAACAGACTGTTGTAAAATTGTGAATTATAATGTTCAATTGAATAACATCCTCATATATAACGTATAATGTGTTATTGATTATATGCAGCGCTAAAATCAAAATGTATATCGCAATTATTTTTAAGACTGTATTTATAATTTTGATATTAAAGTAAATGAGAAAATCCTATTTTTGTTGTTAATATTTTACTTATATACAGGATGATTGAAAATTGACGTCATTTCTTTTAAGGGGCTATGGAGGCTCATTTTTCGAAAATTTCTAGAATATTTTAAGAGTTGAAAATCGTGTTTCAACATTGTTATTAAGCATTATTTTGAAATGGTACCATCCTTGATTAGTAGCACATTGGAACACTTAACTACTTGAAAAGAAAAATTATGTTCTTTGCTTCAAATTACGGATTTTTTTCATATTCAAAAAGTACTGTTCTACAAATTTTTGATGAAAAGTCAAAGCTGCAATTATGTTTTTGTCATTAACAGATAGCTACCGGTAGATAGGCTTTGTCAATAATAACAAGAATTTCTCAAACTGTGATTTACTTTGAAGATCCTTTTACAGAATGTACAAAAATATCGAATTCGCGAATGTGGGGTTAGTTTACGGGGAAATGCCACAGTAACATAGCAGAAGCTGTGAGAACTTACACCAGCAAAGCGCTAGAGACACAGGACGATTAGCTCCTGGAGTTGACGCAGATAGTGGACAACCTTGAAATGTTCGGGATCCAGACCTAGAGGCATTAGAGATAATTACAGCCGTGCCTTCCAGGAGTACTCGAAGCATTGCACCACAACTGTACTTTCTCAAGCACCTTCTTCTTATATTGCATCTCCTATCGGAGGTTTGGTATCAGCACAGCAATTCTGACCTTAATGGCAGCAGTTCTGAACTATTAAACATTGCTATAGTTAAACCAGTCCCTCAGGCTCGTTAGTAAGGATAGGCGGTGTCTGCCAATGCTCCGCTGTCCACTAATCTTTCCCTGGAGTATCAGTTGGAGAAGTGAGTATTTATGTCCTCTTATTATATGACCCAGGTATTGGAGCTTTCTATTTTTTCATGGTGTTAATTATTTTGCAATCCTTTTGCTAAATCCGGTTTACCACTTCGGCTTTAGTAATTCTGCCGGTCCAGGGAATACAGCACATTCTACGCTAATACCACATATAGAATGCTTGTAGTTCGTCGATGTGTTGTTTCTTGAGGGTCCATGCTTCAATTCCGTACAAGAGCGTGGAAAAAACGTAACAACGCAGCATCCTCATCTTAACTTTCACGTTAATATTCCGTAAAATTCCGACTCGTAAATAACCTTTTCATTTGTAAAAATGTTGGTCTGCCTCTAGTTCTTATTTATCTTGTTTGGTCACCCGATTGTTCTATCCAAGTTTCTAGATGTGTATATGTCGACACATTCTCTATCGAGATGTTCGCCTCCGCCAAGTTTGCCTTGTTCAGATCTTGTGAACATTTTGTGACTACCATTAACTTGGTTTTCTTAAATTTGATTTTTATGGTGCGATTCCCTATGACAATTAAAGCGCTGTAAAGGATGTAACTGCTTAACCTCGAGATATGAAGCAAACATGGAATTCTGGAAGCGGCTTACATCGCTTTAAATTTTATGGCGCAAAAATTGTCGATGTAGTCCTACATCTGTCGCAATTTTGACGTTTAGCGGTTAGGAATTTATTTATTTTGAACACAGTCGTTTAGAAAAACTTTTTTATAATGAAAATTTGTGATGGCTTTAGTGAATTTTATACTTGATTTATTTCAGGAGGATTTCATTTATATTTTATTTAATATTCCTTAGTGTTTTCTTGGTGTTCTAATAATAAAATGCGTCTAAACGAGAAAAAGCATCGGGATCAGCAAAATATATTTGTATTACCTGATGATCAAAAACTAACGTTTATATCATCAAAAAATATTGCTAGGCATGTTATATCCAAATATCATTAAGCGCCACACCTCAAAGACCAGAGGATGTACAGTCGTTCATTTGTACATTCGAGTGCTCCCAACAATTCCTAGAGCATGAGTCTTTTTGCTGTGGGTTTGTCAGGCTGGTATGAGCCAAACCTGAACATGCCTGTAGATACCCTTACATAATTCCACACTCATGAGATTTTTGTTACCAGATAATAACGAATCTGTATACATAGAGGGTGATTCAAAATTGGCGTCATTCCTCTGGAGATGTTGTCTGGGGGTGTCTTGGGAGTACAGAAAAAAATAGTAAAAAAATTAACTGTTATTAAAAACTTAGATATTTGCAAAAAACTAGATCCAAAGGATGGCCACAATGTTTTTCAAGGCCTAATTAACATTACGTAAATACCTGTTCCTTTGTAATTATTAAAAACTCCCGTACCCATGGATAAACATGAAGCAAATAAATAAATAAAAGGGACAATAACATACGTTGAGGTTGTGTGAACCAGGGACAACAGGAGTCAACTAACTGTTTGAAGAATGACAAACCGTTTTTAAAAACTACTTTTATTATTAAAATTGTTACAAGTTTACTTAAGCGTGGTTGTACTCTGACTAACTTTTACATTAATTCAATGGTATAAGCAAAACAGGAGGCTTTTTTTATAAAATGATGATTGGCAATATTCCTTAGCTGCTGATACAGCGGAATCCATGGGAACTGGCCACATAACTCATGCTTTACTTTACTTACCTTACCGACTGCGCTTGATAGGAAATACGTCGCCTCTACAACCGGAACATGACGAGTATTGAGTATTGAATGTATCATGGAATAAACCAGTGTTAGTAATGAACTTGGTGTACTTTAATACGTATAAAGCTAGGATAACGGTGTCACCTTGCGGTCAGCGCTGCGACAAACAGCCCTCCCAGTGCTGCCATCTTTTTGGGGCAAATGACTGTTATACCTAAATCGGTCACAACTGTCATCCAAAACCACCTGTTAAAGGTTATGTATCATTGATCAATATTATTGACCAAATAAAATATAATTCTGTTGGTAAAACACAAGTCTTCCCAAGAGCAAGAAGTCCTGCCGGTTCACTCCTAACATCTTTGTATCCCAATCACTTTGAGTCTGGGCTCATATTTTGAGCAGCTTCTCTTGTTCGGTTAATAAACTGCTGCTGCTACTGCTGCTGCTCAATTTGAACCGATGTTCGGAAGATCAGAGATTTAATGTGTTGTAGTGTCTTGTGCATATGACATACATTGTAGGAATGTAGGCCCTTTCTCGGGAGAGTTATCGGGACAATTAAGTATCCGGTGTTTGAGCAAGTGCAGCTGTTGTGTAATGCTTCAAGTACTCCTGGAAGTCTCAGCTGCAATAATCTCCAATACCTGTTCCTCTAGGTCTGGAAACCGAGCACCTTCAGATTGTTCACTATCTGCGTCCATTTCGGGCCACTCGTCTAATGTGCAGCCTTTTGCTGGTTCTTACAGCTTCTGCTTTCTTACTGTGGCATTTTCCCATAACTAATCGCATATTCGCAAATTCCCTGTTGTTTTACATTTTGTGAAAGGAGCTTCAAAATAAGCCACAGTTTGACAAATGCTTGTTATTATTGACAAAGGCTTTCTACCTGTAACTATCTGTTAATGACAAAAAACATCATTGCCGCTTTGACTTTTCATGAAAAAAATAATGAAAATGAAAAAAAAGTACTTTTTTAATATCAAAAATTTTGGTAATTTGACAAAAAGATCGTCATTTTTCTTTTCGAATGCTTAAGTATTCAAATAGGCTACCAATCAAACGTGGGACCTTTTCAAAACAATGCTTAATACCAAAGTTGAAATTCGACCTTCAACTGTTAATAGCTTCTTGAAATTTTGGGAAAAATGTTTTTCAATATTTTTGTCGTACTCTCTATGTGGGCCTTTATATACCCTTAAAATAAATGACGCCAATTTTGAATCACCCTGTATATGAGTTTTGCCGGTAGTGTAGCCTTTTTAAAGAATTTATTGGTATCATTCTTTACTCACGTCTTACACCAATTTTTATTTATTAGATTATTATTTCATATTAGTTCAATATATGTTTTTAGTAGTTTTTGCGATATCGACCTCGGCAGTTCCCGGCAGGGGATAAAATTACCGATGTGATTAAACAACTTTGTGTATCACATCGCACATTATTTACTTCGAACAAACCGAAAAAATAAACTATAGCAAACAATTAAACAATTCTTTTTCACTGAAATTAAAGTTAGGGTTTCCATACTTTTTCAAACATTTTTGAACTGTAATCTTCTTTCTTGAGTTATCAACAAAGTTATTCATGCTGTCTGAAATATTCTCAAGTGGTTTCGTTTGCTTTCATTTTGTTATTCTTGCCTGATTTGTTACTTTTGCGTGCCGCATAATGATAATAGTAGTTTTCGATGCAAGGGCGAAAAGAATAGTTTTGTGTTTATGTGTGTTTTAAGTTGAAACATAATGACCGTGAATGTCTGAGAAAGGTGTTAAATTTAAAACCAAACCTGTAAAATTTTTGTTTAAAATCACTCTAGCTCCTTACAAATATTTCGGGTCACTATTCCTAGAATAATAGAATGTGCCGTTACCCGCTTGGCAGCTGAAACTTCCTGGCAATCTCATATCACTAACCCTCAGAATATCCACATTTTGTCTCAACATTTCCCTCGCAATGTTATGCAATTTTCCTGATGCAAAAACGCTTCTTGCATTCCACGTTTCTCGGATTCTTCGCTGTTGCTTTCATAAACTGCTTCGCCACTGTGCCCCCTGGAGATCTTATTAGGGGGGTTAACGTTAACTCCGAAATATTTTGTTTTGAACATTGCGATTGAGATTGCAGTACTAGAGATACTCTTACAGTCTTTAATGCAGTGGTTTCCCCTTGCCTTCTGCATCCACAGGCAGTGGGATTAAAGTACAGGGGATTATAAAGTGACTATACCTAAATTATTTATCTGTTTAAAACAAAGAAAAATGGATGGAGAATGCCGTCTTTGATACTGACAGTTGGATACGGCCGCTTCTGATATCAAAATTCTGTAAAAAAACGCTGCGAAATTATTCTCCTTCTATTTGTTTGAGATCTAGTTGATCTGTTGTGAGATGTAAACTGCTAGCTGTCCTTCCATCTCTTTGGTAGTCTCCCAGATGGAATTCCTAAAATTTTGGATATGTTGTACATGCAACCCATACTACCATATTCAAATTAATATTAGTTAATGTAATTAGAAACATATTATCAAGCGTGTTATACTAGTACGGAACAAACTTTTTCAATGAATTCACAAGCTGCTTCTTCAGTTTCTTCAACAGCTGGCAACTTCTTTTCTCTTTCTTCCTCACCTGACTGCTCTGGTTCGGCCATTTTATTTAACCTAATAGCTTTATAAAATTTAAGTTCTTCCAGAGACCAGAAATTAGGATCAAAAAGCTTATCACCATCGCTAAGTATCAGCAAATTGATTTGTTGCAATCCACTTTCTGTGATGGCAGTGTCAATCATGTGTAGAGTACCTTCTTTTTCGAGAGCACTTCTAAAGATTTGCAAATACGACTTGTAATGCCAATTCACCCCTAATGTAAACATTTCCATTTTTTAATTCCTTTAGCAAAAACCGTCTTGGATTCTTAAAAAAAAAATGCCATGTTCCAGTGGGTTTAAAGACACGTGATATCTTTCGTTCGTTTCCAGATAAATACCTAATATATAAATAACTGTAGTAATTTTCGAAACTGCTCTACATACCTTTCAGGCTGCGTTATAACAAGTTTTGATATCCTTTTCAAAATTATCGAATACCCTACCAGCCGGCAAAAATGAATAGCCTACCACTGGAACAATCTCTTCGACATGCCGGACATGTTTTGGCGCTCTTTTCAAAACCCACTTGCAGCACATTCCAATGATTGTGATATTCTTGTTTCTCCCGCTGCATCTGACGGCAGTTACTCCACTTCTTTTCTTCTCGCAGTTTCATTGAAACCTTTTCCAAATGCATCTTCCGTCCATTAATCGGAAAATATATTTTGCGGGGTCAGATTAGACAGAGTCCCCTCCTGGACCATTGTAAAATTAAAAAGATACATTTGTTTTAGGGTAGTACGCACTTTGGTCTGGGATGTTAGGGCCGATAAGGTTCTTTTGGAAATCGAAAGATGGCTTTATCAAATAATCCCGTGCTTCTTTGAGCAACTCAAGAAACGCACTTGTTCTGAGTTTATGAATCTATCTTTTACTGGCTGCGGATTATTTCTTATCTTCATCTGTACATCTCTTAATCATCGCCGTCAGTTGAATTCATAAGGAACACACGTTTGTACGGGGAGAAGTAAAGCTGGTGTTATACTCGGTATTGAAAAACTTCGAAAGTATGACGATTTTACCCTCTCTTGGGGAGAAGACTAAGAAATTATACATTTTAAACATTTTTTCTGCAGACAAATCCGAATTAAGATAACATCTACGAGAAGCAGCACGACAATAATGTGATTCTATATTATGTATTTTTGGAGAGCTGCTTGTTTTTCTTCAAACTTTAAACTTTTTCTGTCGCCACCTCTTCACCTCTTCTCTCCGAAGAACCACGTCAGAGAAAAGATGTCGACTGTAAGGCGATGTTTCGTAATATTCAGTTCTTTTAAAAAAGTTTGCTGGCACAATGGAACTTCTCGCTTCAAATTATTATTTCTTCTCCATAAAGCCTTTCACAGAGGCGGTTTTGGCTGTGTCTCTGAAGTTTATGGGACGCCGAGGTTTAGGCAGTTGAACAGCGCAAAGCTTTAAAGTAAATGCATCTAGGCGGATTTTATCTTTTACCGCATAAAATGCGTTATGAAAATTTTCCCTCATTATTAAGGTGGAACATTGCTAAGACTTCGTTTTATTACCGGAAGTAGGATCGCCGGGCAATTGTGGTGAAGAGTATCTGAAAAAATAAAAAGTTACCAGGTTTTTGTTTATAATATTCAGAGATTAAAGTTAAATGGTCTACTAAAACCGTCTACAGTATAAACTGCCTTATATTCCTCTCCACGTTTTTCGTCCATGTAGATTGATTGCGATTTCTTATTCGTGATTTACTGTTTTCAACGGGAGATGCAACAGTTTCCATTTTAATCAATTATTACAATAACTTTTATAGGCCAAGCAAATTACCACCAAATCGTTCAAATATGGTTCTAACGTAACGTAACTTAGATAGATTTTGGAATCGCTCGGGAATGGTATACCTATTGAAAATATCGAGATGCGTCAACTTGAAAAGGTGTGCTATTTACGTAAACAACGAAACAGTGAAAAAATGCGATATGGCGTTTTTCCTGGAAGCAACCGCATATAACTCGATAAGTGTGCATTTTAGGGAAATAATGTATGGTAATAAATTAGTTGTTTATAAAATTTCCTACACGAGAGAGTTGGTCCGGTATCTGTTAATTTGAAACGTTCGCTTTAAAATTCTTAAAAGTGCAGAAAAAGTGGACAAAAAGCAAGGTGATTTTGAATTTTGTATCTAACAATTAAAAAATAAGTCAATCACGCCATACATTTAGATAAAAGTACTTGACTGCAATACAAAACGAGAGCCGTAAGGCAGATTAGGATCGTACGGACAGTTTTTGCAGAATGCTATTGTTAAATAACATAGTTGAAAAAATAACCTTTTTTTTAATTTTTAATTTTGAGCCGGGCTGACAGTTTTTAATGTTCTCGCGCCAGCGCTTGCACACCTTCTTAGATCCTTAAGCTATCATATAAAATTACTATCTATATTAATCGTTTTTCAATTTGTAATAAATAACTTTTTGAGCGGTTAAATCTCGGCTTATAAACAATGAAGCATGTGAAGCCGGACTTGCGAGCAGGAACAAACCGGAAAGTATGAAAAAGTAGCACCCGGAAACATGGTTCTGTTTTTAAAGAACAATCCAATTCGGTCCGGTAGATGTTGAGGTGTTAACTTCCAAAGTTGGGCAAGGTATCCGGTGTAACGGTTAATGATGTAAAAATAAATTATATCCCAATCGATAGGGTTTTCGAAGAGGTTTTCGTACCTACTTTCAAAAATGACATTGCACATGTGCATCACGCACAAAAAATTGAATAAATATTCTTGATAATTGAATAAAAATTCCGAGAGGTGGGGATAGGCTGCGAAACTTGAAATCGGCTCTTCAAAATTGGCGCGCTCGCTTCCGGATGAAAGCGACATGTCATAAGTCATCTGTCACTGTCATTCCTTAATATGTAAGTTTTGCAGGAAACAATTAAATAATTAGCGACCCTCCAAATTGAAAAAAAAATTGGAAGCAGGTAGATATCGTACTGCAACCGTTGTAAGTCTAATCACCGACAAAAATCCAGCCATTCTTGTAGCTGAAGATATTAGATATGTATGAAGAAAGACTTGTGATGAATAGCATAAATAATGCTAGGAAATTATGGAAATACAGGGTGATTCAAAATTGGCTTAATTCCTCTGGAGGGAGTACAGAAAAACATTCTGGGGAGAGAGTACAGAAAAAATAGTAAAAAAAATTATTATTATTAAAAACTGAGAAATTTTTAAAAAACGATATTAGAAATATGGCAGCAATGTTTTTCAAGGTAATCTGCCTAATTAACATTGCTTAAATACCTGTCGCTTCGTAATTATTTAAAACTCCGGTAAACAATTATATGGAGTGACAATAAGATAGACAAGGATAAACGGTAAACTCAACCAGATTCGTTGACTGCGGCACGTACTTTCAAAATTTCAACCTTTTCTCATAACCTTGAATTGGTGTTTACAAATAAACCATACAACACCAAACATTTGAAAGGTTAACTCCAAACCAGCTAGTGCCTGTGTAATATCCTTAATATGCACTCTTATCAAGCAGCTTCTCGTATTCAGTTTTTGTCTCAGGAGTTAATTACTCCTGCTCCATTTGTACTGTGTGTACCGTACAAACGTGGTAGGAATGTTGTAATATTTATTGACTTCCATAGCCACCTTACAAAATGTAACATCTTTTTGAAATTTTTAAATATAATAAATTAAACTAAAAACCTTATATGAAACATCAAACAGTATAACTAGAAATAAACTTATAATTCAACCTAAACTTTCCAAAATTGTAAGCAAAGAAACAACTATATCAAAGCAATACAGATATCCAAATCTAAAAGCAATTAACTTACTTAGAAAAATCGTAATAAAAAAATTGTAAAGAATTGGACATGTAACAACATAATATGATTATCCAAATACTTGAGTCAGGTCAATAACTATCATATGAATATGTATTGTAACTATTATGGTTTTTGGATTACGGAAGACTATACTGAATTTGGTGACACAACGACATTTCAGGAAAAATAAAGCTAAATATACTCAATGCAATTGTGAAGAGCATAACAAGGTATGAGTGGAAGCATTAAAGTTAACTGAAACCAAAAAGAACTTAATACGAGCTTTTCAAATGGATCTCCTAAGAAGGTCTTGTCGAATGTTACATGTCGAAATTACAGCACATATCGAATGAAAATACTCGTATAGTTCAAGTGACCAATACCAGGAAAACAATAATAGATAAGTACAGCGATGTCCAAAGATTGTTTAAAGGAAGACCATCATAAATAGCAATGGATTGAATGCCTACCAAGAGAAGGACAGGAGAAAATCCTAGGAGACAGTGGGGCGAAGGCATAAAGAAAGCTATGGGCGAGAGAAACGTGCTCAGTGGCGGCAAAATGTAGCGGGAGCACAGCCAGGACAAAACCCGAAAACCGGCCTATGGATAGATCGATATTAAAATCATTGCATATCATGTATACGACAACAAAACCGTCTCGGCCGCATGTAATTTGTTGCACACTTATAAGCCATCAGGTGCCATCAATCAACCAGTTTGGTTCACCTCACCACAGTGACATTTAATCAAGCTCCCACCATTACAGGTCTAACAAACGTCAAGTGCAAACTTGACATCATCATATAAATAGTGATATTTAAAACCATTTTTAAAACTACTGCTAATGAGTGAAGTGGTGTCACAATGGATATTACATCGCCTTGGGATTATTATCGACATGACTCCCGAGAACTTTGCAACTAGAACGTCAAACGGCCATTTATTAGCACAAATTCTTCAAAGCTATGAAATAATTACTCCCGAAGAATTAAGTATCATCAAAGAATCTGATCAGGTGAAAGACAGTTATGATAATTTTCAACATATTAATTTGTGGTTACGACATATGGATTTGACGCTTAGTGTTGACGATCTGTATGAAATAGTTCATGGAGTGGGGTCAACTTCTTTACATTTATTTTTCCAAGTATTTCTTCATTTGAAAGATCGAACTAAATTAGACTTTCTGTCTGGAAAGGAGTTAGATATTCAACTGGAAAAAAATGTTCACAGATTTTGTGTGAAATCTGTCGAAGATTCTCAAGACCCCAATAAATTTGATTTGCATAAAGAAGAATACTGTGAACCACTTCTAGCCGGAGGTGATGTTTACCATTGGTATAAGAACCGTATAGAAAATTTACAAATTAAGTGCAAGGACGTAAGAGATGAATATATCCACAACGTCAAGAACAGGTGCAAGTCGCTTTCTGACGAAAGTGGAATTCAGGAAAGAGATAGCGCGTTCGTTTTAGCACGAGGACTTACCATTAGCCCCAGGCGATCAAATGTAAGTGAAAATCCGACAGCTATGCATTTAAACGATGATCTCCGCTCTCCAAATCTAACAAACCATGATAACTTAGTGGAACAACAGAAGAATGTTCTAAAATACCAAGTTTTTAATCCCGACGTTGCAAAAGCAAATATTATTTTGAAAAAATTGCGTGCTAAAAGTAAAGTCCGCCTGGAAAACAGGATATTAAGAAACCAACTTCATCAGCAAATAATGAACTCATTCGATACAAAGATTAATGACAATAAATCTCAGTCTGCAGAAGAAGTTCTTAAAGATGTGTTTATGCAGCAATCCCTATATGAAAAAGATCTGGTCACAAAATTGGGCCAAATAAAGATATTTAAGGAATATATGTTAGAGAATAATTTTCAGCAAACGCAGATTCTGAACAAGCAAAAGGAGAAAGCTTTTGTGGATCAGTTAATATTGAAAAACAAAGAACTTAACGAAACGGAGATTACGTACTACTTTGAAAGGGAAAGACAGCTTCAGCTTCATAAAGAAATTTGGAAAGAGAAGCTGCGCTTGCGGCAAAAACGAAATGAAGAAATGTGTTCTAATATCCTAAGCAACATTATAGATATGTCTTTAAAAATATCCGAATACAAAAAACAATATGGCGCAGAAGCATTCAGAAGAAAAATGGAACATCAAAACGATATGTTTCGAGCTGCGCAGTCGGTGTTTGACATTTCTGAAAGCTCTATAGGTATTCTAAAAGGCGACGAATTTGATATACCAGAAGAAATAGTGACAAGAGAAACCTTCAAGGAAAATGCGTTAGATGATCAGGAATTTGATCGTTATATGAAATTTGAATGGCCATGGGAACTAAAAAATGTTAATATTGAATTGGATATGTTCAATCATATTACTTGGGGACTAAACGTATTGGGTAAGAAAATTTTGTATGTTGAAGACAGAAGTATATTTTTTGTTGTTTTTAGTCTAGGGAAAGAAAGGATGGATTCATGTTACTATAAGATTACCTTTGCTGTTTTGAATGTTTGTTTGAGAATTAATTTTGTGAATATACAAAAATTTTGTTGTCAATATGTAACTGTTCATTAGCTGTTGCATAATTTTTTTTGTACAGGGTGTGAAAAATTGGACACTTTTAAAAGGAAACTGCTATTTCTGTACAAGAGAGACAAAAACTGATGTGGGTATCTGAACCTCGATTTTTATGACACATTTAATGACGAAACCCGTATTTCGATATGTCTGACTATTTTAGAGATACAGGGTATTTCCCAGAAATCTGCAATTTTTTAAATAGGATACACACACATTGAGCAAAACATAGAATGTGTTATATTTTTGGGAAGGCGCATTCAAGCGCAACTTTAAAATGGCAAATGGCAAAATATACAGTGTTCAAGTTAAAAATGTATTTTTTTCTAAATATCTAGGAAAATATTTTATTATTGCAACTGAAACTTACATTATTGGATACCACGTGAAAAAGTGCTTTGGAAATGTTTCTGAAGAAGGTTAAAAAATTACAGGAAAAGCATTCCCCAAATTGCAGGTTTCTGGAAAATACCCTACATCTATAAAATTGTTAGGAATATTGACATACGGTTTTCGTCATTAATTTTGTCATAAAAATTGAGGCTCAGACCCCGACGTCAGTTTTTGTCTACCTGGTATAGAAATAGGAGTTTTCATTTAAAAGTAACTATTTTGCGTCCACCATTTACAAACATACATGCATTCATTTACAGTTCTGCCGAGTGGTATCGAAACTTGACTTAAAAAAAATAGGGAAACTTTTGGAACTAACAATTATTTTATTTTTAAATATTCTTGTCACTAAGCTCATGCATTTCTAGAATACTTAACCCATTTCAGAACATCTGCTCACTTTTTAGGCTACATGGTTCACCGCGCCCTAAGTATAAAATATCCAATAGTTCCCTTATGGGAGAAGCCTGAATTTCCGGAGTGTTCTGTTCGGGTTTGCATTAATGACCTTAATGATACGTCGATATTGCCAAATCTCAGTAGCTTGCTATCAAAAAGAGAAATTAGAGTTATACAATTATCCGAGACAGTGGATTTTTGTATAGAGGCTTATGAGAACGAAAGTAAGCAAAAATATGATCAGGATGTCCCTCACCTTGAGGTAAGTATTGATTTAGTCAAGAAAATAGGTGCGTTTTCCGACGGAAACTCTCGACCAACATAAATGAACAATGAAGAATAATGTATAAAGCAAAGGACATTCAATCTGAACCTTTCATAGAGATAAAAAGAAAACCCGAACAAATACCGGCATTCAATTTTATTGTTTATTTAGATAAAACTGTTTTTTAAATAATTCAATTCACTTAAAGAGCTCAAGTGGATTTCGAGCTCTAATTTGAGATTCATTAAATATATTTTCTGCTTCTTTCTGTGGATTTGTAACTGGCGTGATTATACTTTTTAAAGCATATCCAGCATCTCCAAAAAGTACGAAGTTGTCAAATTCTCGCCTTCCAAATCGTTTCTGCGCTTAGCTGTTGCTAAACATTTTTTCATCGTGGGTTGAACCACCCTTCTCCTGCTTCGAACTCCTGGTTGAAATCTCAAAATCTCAAGCGAATCCCGTCTTCCAGTTGAGTCAACCCTCACTGAACCGGCATTTCAACCGCCGGTAATCGTTTATAATGCCCAAACTGGCCTCTAACCTTGGGTTGAATTTCAACCGTTGGTCAACCGTACATTATCATACCTTAGTCCTGCAGTTCGCTTGATACCATCTTTTATTAGGTCTACCTTTTGATCTTGCTCCCAGCCATGGCATCCATTGTATTATTTTGGTGTTCCATCTCTCGTCGTCTCTCCTTGCTACATGTCCCGCAAAGGCCCATTTCATCTGGGTTACCTTTTCTATTACATCCTTGACCTGTGTATGTTGACTCATGTATTGGCTCGCCTTCCTAGATCTGACAGAAATACCCATCATTGTCAGCCATACCTGTTTGTGTTGCTTTTAATTTTTGAATTGTATTTTTTGTAAGAGTCCACGTCTGCGCCCCGTATGTGCCATATTGGCAATATACACTGGTCGAACACTATTGTGCGTATTCGTTGAGGGATTTTTTAATTTTTTAGTATCCTTGAGAGTTTGGCGCAAGCGGCCCAGATTAGACCTTCTTTGTCCTATTTCGTCATTTTTATTGTTTTTCGTTGACCGAATTTTATTCCTTGATGTTTTCCAATTGATTGTTTTCTATTCTTATGATCGTCTCTTGTTCCCGGCTCATAATTTTAGTTTTCGGCATGTTCATTTTTAAATCTACATTTTTTTATTTCTCTTCCAATTCCTCTAACATTCTGCAAACGTCTTCTTTATTGTCCCCTATTATCACCACATCATCAGCAAAGGTAATTTAGCCTTTCTCCGTTGATATTGATACTACCTGCAATTCAAGTAGTTTGAACACGTCTTCTAGCGCCAGCGTAAATAGCTTTAGGGACAATATGTCTCCTTAAGGTATCCTCGCGTGTTCTTATTGTAGCTGTTGCTTTTTCGAAGATCACTGTATTTGATATATACGTGCGTCATCCATTTCTTTGATGACTACCTAGTGTTATATGCTATCAAATGCCTTTTCGTAACCTTTGTAGGCCCCATGAATTAGGGTAGGTATTCGGCTGCTTTCGCGATTAGGATCCCTATTGTTAGAAGGTGATCTGTTGTGCTGAAACCTTTGCGGAACGCTGTTTGCTCTGCAGGTTGGTAGCATCTATTTTGAGCTCTCAGTTATGCGTTTAATATTTAATTATGTTTAAATCAAAACTGCATAACATGAGCACAAAATCTGCATCTATAACTTTGAGGACTGTCACGCTGATAACTGATTTGAAGAATAGCAAAATCTTCAACTATGAAGAAATTTCATGACAATTTTGACAAACACGTTGAAATAATCGAATTTTGGCAATAATCTCCAGTTATTTCGAACATTTGGCGCTTTAGGTAAAGAAACATGATATATGGTTTAATGGGTGCTTCAACACTGGCGTCATTCCTCAGGAGGCGTTGTCTGGGGGTGTCTTAGGAGTCACGCCTCAAATCATTTGCCCCAAAAATATGGCAGCACTGACGGCGAAATTACAATGTTATCCTAACCTCAAAGTATGGTATTATTAGTTTTCTATTCTGTGCTTTGTGTTTACCCATGGTTACTACAGTTGCTAATAATTTTAAGAAGCAACAGGTGATGTTGATGCAACGTAATGTTAATTAAGCAGTTTACATTGAAAAACATTGTTACCATCCTTCTGATCGAGTTTTCAATCTCCGTAATTAATACGAATTAATTGTTTTTTTTTATTTTTTGTGTACTCCCAAAACACCCTCATACCTCCAGAGGAATGAAGCCAAAAATGAATCATCCTGCATTTCTAGATGCCGCCAGTTATTAAAGATAATAACATTTTGTACAACAGTAATCAGAGGAAACATTTTTGCATTTTATTTTTTATTCAGTTTATATTTATACAGTGTCACCGGCTTTTCGACTACATGCGATGTTCCATGTTTTTCAATTATTAATAAAAAGACATTAATTTGTCTGCATCAAAATTATAATAATATAGTAAAGAAAAAATGCTCAAGATATAAGTCGAAAAAAATAGCACAATATTTGTTTCGATAGACAAACTAATCCGAGTTTTTCCGACCGCTTCGCTGCTATCTAAATTTTCATTAAAATTGTTTGCAGTCAAATGTTCAGTTAATTATTTACCTTCATTACCCCTTATTTCTTTAGTTTGATTTTGTTCAATTTAAAATTGGGTACTTGTTAATAAAATGCATGTTAATGCGTAAATTAATTTATTTCTAGATCAAACATGATAAGGAAGAGCGAAAAATTAAGAAAGGTTCTAAGTCAAAAAGAAAGAACCGACCAGAACGAGAAGGCGGCAGTAATAATAGTCTTACAAATATAGATACGCGCTTAGAAAGCAAATTTGTTCAAACACCCTTGAAATTTCCGTGTGATGAGATTCCATATACATACACAGCTTTGTTGGGTAGAACTGCTCAGGACCTTTTAAACGAAGGGCAACCGTTAGGAAATTTTCTTTTAATCGATATGTTTGTTGAATACCTAAAATCTATACCAACATTGAAAGGATGGGTGTTGGTAAACTATCCTTCGAATTTCGAACAGGCTACCATCTTAGAAGAAGCATTTTCTGGTACAAAATTGTTAGATCCTAATATGAGATTGACTGCTGCAAAAAGTTTAACCGATATTACAGAGTATGCGGAAAGCCTAGACAAAGACGATTGCAGTTTATATAATGATGCTAAGCGAATTTCAAAAGTTCTTCCTAATCCTCTTTCTTCTGAACAGACAAAGAACTTATATGACACTATTCTCACAGCATACATTAGAATTAAAAAGCTCTCGCTTGAGGACAGGTCTGGAGATAGTGCGCTACCCCCAACACAGGAAGATTTAGACGCTCAACCAGATCCTTTAGAAGAATTTTATTCAAATGCTGGTGCAAATTACTCTTTATACTATAAAGAATTTGATTCAAGTACCGTTAAAAGTCTTGCAAAGTTAATAATTGGCGATTACAGTCTGCCTTTAAAGTCTTCATTAGAGCTTTTCGGGGACATAGGCAATTTAGATCGACAACCTTCCAAGCGTGTTGGAGAAGTAAAAATGACAAAGAAAGGAGAGAAACTAAAAAAACCGAAGCGAAAAATAAATTTGGAATCTAGCACTAACGTCTCTAATAAAACCTCACAGAAAGCAGGTTGGTTTAAAGACTTAAACTATTGGAAATATAAACATTTTATTGTTATACCTGGGTTTAATTTTAGATAAAAAAGGTACGAAGGGCAAATCAAAAGTTTCGACTCTTTACGAAAACAAACAAGTTCAAGTGCCATCCGAAGATGAGGAAGATGTTGATTTAAGCGAGTCTGCTGTCGAAGTAATTGAAGCTGGACAAGAAAGCTGGCAATACACTAAAATGGACTGCCCCGAAGAACTTCTCGTAAGTTTTAACTTAAAACTAATATTATTACATAATAGCTACCCAACTAGTTGTAATTAAACCTAACACTAACTAATGACAATTATTATTTAATCAACCGTTTAAGTAATAATTAAATTGCTTTGTTCTCTACCACACAAGTTTCCGGGTCGATTCTTCTTCTTCTTCTTCAGCTTAGATTTGTCCACTGATGAACATAAGCCTCCCTTAGTTTCTTCCACTCTCTCCTATCTTGTGCCTCCTGCATCCAGTTGGTCCTGATGTGTTTTATGACGTCAGACCATCTGGTTGGCGGTTGTCTCCTATTTCTGTTCGCGTCTTCTCTGGGGCTCTACTTTATTATTCGCTTGGTCCACCTATTGTCTTGTATCCTGGCAATATGTCCTGCCCAGTTCCATTTCAGAGTTGCGATCCTCTCCACTGCATCTACCAGTCCTGTTCTTTTGCGGAGTTCAGTGTTCGTAATGTGATCTACTCTAACTCTCTCGTACGCTACGTCTTCTTCTTATGTACCGTGTCCTTTCAGAACGTTGGTTACCAACAACGCTAGCCGTACTTGTCCTGTACTTGTACTGTCCACGGCAGCTCTAAAAAGTGTATGTGAATTTGTTTTGTACCGGTCACGCAGATGTTTAAGCCATGACGTTTTTCTCCTGCCTGGTCCGGAGCTGCCATGTATTTTACCCTGCATAATGTTTTGTAAGAGTCTGTACTTTTCTCCTCTCATGACATGGCCGAAATACTCTAGTTTACTCTTTTTAATAGTGGAGAGGATCTCAGTGGTCTTATTTAAGCGCTGTAGTATTGCCACGTTGGTGATTCGTTCAGACCACGTGACACTGAGCAGTCTCCTGTAGGCCCACATCTTGAACGATTCAAGCCGACTTTCTTTATTTTTGTTGATGGTCCAAGCTTCAACTTCGTACAGTAATGTAGAGAATACGTAGCATCTCAGCAGTCGGATTCGTAGGGATAATTTTAGGTCCCTTCATCCTAGAACATTGCTCATTTTTCTGTAAGCTCCTCGTGTTTGTTCTATCCTTGATCTTACTTCTGTGTGGCTATCTGCATTTTCTGTTATAACGCTGCCTAGGTATCTGAACTGATGAACTTGTTCCAAGCGCATGCCTTTGACTCTGATATTCTACTGTTTACTGATTACTAAAACTTTGGTATTTTTTATGTTTAGTTCTAGGCTAGCTGCGTCGCACTTTACTACCACACTGTTCAAACTCCGCTGTTGATCTTCTGAGCTAAAGACGAATGAAACCGTGTTATCCGCGTACCGCATGTTATTTATCAATTCGTCATTAACGACAATGCCCACTGCTGCCTCCAAAAGTGCATCTTTGAAAATTATTTCTGAGTATACATTGAAGAGCAACAAAGATAAATACCTGCCGCTTCGTAATTATTAAAAACTCCGGTAACAATGGAATTATACAGAGTGACAATAAAATAGACAAGGATAAACGGTAAATTCAACGGGATTCGTTAACAGTGGAACTTACTTCAAAATGTCAACAGTCATGTTCGTCAAAATATCCTCTTAACCTCGAATTTATGGCTACAAATATAAATACATTTGAATGATGAAGTAGAAACAAGTTAGTGCCTCTGTAATCTCCTCATTATCCACTATTATCGAGCAGCTTCTCGCATTTTCATAATTAACTCCTGCTCAGTGTGTACCAGTGTTCAATATACCAATGGTATAATCTGTGCCTATCCTGTGTGTATCTTAGGTACGTTACAGGAATTGTAGCCTTCCTCGTGTTTATTTGGTGCTTGGGAAATTGTCAGTTATTGTGCTCTAAGAACCCGTGGAAGGCTCTGCTGCAATTATGTCCAATACTTGTTCCGCTGCGTCTGGAACCCCAACATCTATCGTCCACTATATTCCTGGCACCATTCTCTTCGCCCTTTGTTGGCGTGAGTTCTTAGAGCTTCTGCTGTCTTATTGTTGCCTTTCCCGAGAACTAAACGCATATCGGCAAATTCGTGAAAGCAGCTTCAAAATAAGTTGCAGTTTGACAAATTATTGTTGTTATTGACAAAGACTGTCTACCTGTAACTATCTGTTAATGACAAAAAACATCATTGCCGCTTTGACTTTTCATCAAAAAATTGTAGAAGGGAACTCGTTTAATATCAAAAATGTTCGTAATTAGTTGCAAAGATCATAATGTTTCTTTTTGAATGCGTTTCAATATGCTACCAATTAAACATGGAAGAATTTCAAGAAAAAATTACCTGTATACCAAGGCTTCTAGTCAGGAGGATAATGTTCGAGAACTTGAAAATAGTACCAGTCCTAACTTGGAATGTTCTCGACTTGACAGCAATACAGTTCTAACCTAAAATGTTCTGGAATACTCGCTCGGCGGTAAAACTTCCGGAACCAACATTTCCTCCCTTACCAAAGAAGAGTGCATCGGGCGGTTAGTACGGCACCCGGACAGTGTACGGTAGTTGATGTCGTGCCTTCACCGGAGTCGCGGGAGTCCTTGACATTGTTCCGGGGTGCTTGGCGGTGTGTTAAATTTCTCTTGGGTCTCGCTCGGTTCCGGAGCGAGAAAGTGGGCCGGATACAGGTTCAGTATAGTTGTCCAGGTCGACGTCTATTGTCATGACGGGAGTCGCACGACGCTTCCCATTTGGTTATATTGTCGGTCCAGGATTTCGTTGCAAAAATATACGTTTGGCATCGTGTTGCCGATCAGTTTTCGAATCGTGCCATCGACGCGGTTGCCATTCCATATTTCGAGCATGACTTCATCCCGTTCTACGAAGTTACGATGTCGCGCACCGTGACGTCGGTCGAACTGAGTCTTTATTCTACCTCGTTCGGCGGACATTGCAACACGACAGATTTCCCAGAAACCGAAAAAAATTTATATCAACGTTAATGAAAACTATTTAATTAATGAATTTATGATTACATTTATTTAAATTTAACAAAGAGAAAAAAAAACATTCCTAAATTGTAAAAGACCATTTAGAAGTACACAAATATTCCTTTACTGGGGCCCTTGAAAACGACCATTCATCTGGTGCTGGTTTAAATTAGCCGGACAGAAAGAACATTTTAGTAACCTTCGCTACAGTAATATTTCAGAGAAGCACTTAACGAAACAACAGGGGGAATAGTAGTGAATGGGAATGTAATAAATAACTTAACATACGCGGATGACACCGTTATCATAGCCAGCAGTTTAAGTAAATTACAGTGAATGATCCATAAAATAGTCAAACAAACCGAACAAATGGTCTTTTAACGAACATATCCAAAACCAAGCTCATAGTCTTCTCCAAAACACATAAAAATATATCGTTAAACATAAAGGGCAAAGTTGTGAAGCAGGTCTCTTCGTTCAAATGTCTCGGCACCTCGGTAGATCATTCAATATGGCAGTGAGAGCTTGACCCTTGATTCAATAACGCAGAAGAGAATCGAGGCATTTGAAATGTATCTATATCGACGCATGCTCAGAATTTCTTGGGCACAGAATATAACCAATCTAGAAGTTCTAAGACGTTTGAACAAAGGAAAGGTACTGCTAGAAACGATAAAAGAAATAAAAACACAGTATATTGGACAAATTGTGAGGTGCAGCCGATACAAAGTCCTGAAACTCACCTTCGAAAGGAAAATTCAGGGAAAGAGATCCATCGGAAGACGCCAGAACTCATGGCTGCAGGACATCTGTAGGTGGTTTGTGCGCACATCCACAGATATTTTCCGATCAGCTGTTTCCAAAACAACACTGGCCATTTGGACCGTCAATTTTCGCAAGGAGATGGCGAGATAAGCAGAAAAAACGTGATCTAAAATGAAGATCCACATTCTATCTGCGTGCCTTATTGCGCCTTAAAAGCAATGGAGTCAGTCGCTTTATTTCTGCACGAACACCCGAATGACCTTTTCGCCGAATTTTTGTAGAGTTTCAAAGGTAAAAGTGCATATAGGTGGACTGGCACTTCTCCACGTTCACACAACCATACCGATTGAAGTAGAGGAAATTATAACTCGTTTCGTGAGAAGACAATAGAAGAAAATTTGTTTTGTCACTTGATTAAAATTACTACGACATCTACCAATACAATACTTTTTTCATTGATCCCCTGGTGGACAGTATGTAATTTCGCCTCTATTTTTGATAGGAACAGCGTCACTTTTACCTATAAAAATTTTGTTCATCCTGTATGGACAGTAATAACTTTCTCACGCTGACAGCTTGACTTTTCCACTGACTGTCAGCAGACTGTTTTGAAATTTTCAAAGCCTTTTATTGAGAACCTCATACTTTCTACTCTTTTCCACCGAAAATCAAGAAAAATTGCATACGGCCCGCCACTGGTTTTATGACACCTTCAAGCAGTGGCGACACTCCGACTTTTGCTTCTTGTACCGTAATATACTATTAATCACATTTCTTATTGAAATTGAATTGAAGCATGTCCTGACTGAATCCCTACTACATGACTCCCCCCCTCGCCCGTAGTACTTGAAAGCTGGATCCGCCCTTGAGTAAATCCTCGAAGTTTACGTTCGCTAAATATACACTTTAGTCATTCTTGCGCCACAGCTTATACGCTTAATTTTTGTATCGTAAAATCATCGCTAGAAAATCTATTGAGATCTGTGTCCACTAATTTGCCTTGCCCGATCGGAATGCATTACAAGATTACGTTTTTTGTTGTGTTTCTATATAATTTTAAGTTGAACTGCGAGTGCAACTTTGTTTTGGATCGTACAACAATAGTTAAAAGAAACTGTTATTTTACAAGACAAGGAATTTTACTGCAGCGAGAATACTCAATGCGCTCTGATATTAATATGTTCTAATTTGCATGAGGCTTAAGACTGATTTTAGGGGTCCTATGCGCTGTTTGCAACTATAATGCATAATTTCCAATACTATACATGTAGTAGGATTTCCAAATATAAATTATTAAATTTTACTTTTAGATAGCTTTAGCTACGCTATGGGAAAATGTCGAAGAAATATATATCAATGATTTGAAACAAGTTTTCTTTCTGAAACGAATCAACTTAGGTTTACTAATGCCGTTTGTTCAACACGTTAAAGATATAATGAGCAGGATTATCAACAGACCAGACTATCGAAGTTTGTACTTATCAAAGTTTCAAAAAGCATTTAATTCTTTTGAAATGAGCTACAGGATGGATGACGAGTTTAAGACTGAAATGTACTGTAGGTGAGCATAAGTTCAGTTGATCATAGGATTCATGCGTGATTTAGATTGTCTAACTTACAGGATCGAAGATTTTAAAGAAAATTTAGTGGAAATGAGTGACATTAAAATGATGGAATCTGAAAATTTAAGGTGCCGAATCATTAACGCTAATTGGACCCCTTGTCAATTGACCGAACTTATTAATATCTATATAAATATGATTCAAATTGAAATGGATAGATTCATCGATAGTGTTCGATTAATAAATGACTATTTCTTGGGTCTGATTGCAGAAATGCCCACGGAAGAAGAAAACTATGAAGAAGAGCCCATACCAAAATATCACGGAATCAGTAAGTTTTACTATTTTAATAATCTTTTTAGAATGGGATATATGCAGGTTGAGTTTTTTTCGACTGAAAGTTAACGAGTACTGAAAGTGGAAACTAGTATAAAGTATAAAGTTTTTCAATAAAAGGCTTTGAAAATGTTGTCAAAATACTCAGCTGAGAGTTATTGACAACATCAAGCTGTTAGCGGCGAAAGTTATTACTTTCCACACGGGATGAAGAAAATCTTTAATGGGTAAAAGCGATGCCTTTTCCATTGAAAACAGTCGCAAAATTACGTACAGGGAAATGAAATTTGAAGAGCTGTAACTTCGAATAAATATTCAGAGTTCAAATATTTGACGATATATGCTCTACTATCATTATTTTCGCATGTAGAATGGCCCTGACAAATTGCTTAACGCATTTTGCGAACATGCTGTATAGCCGTTATTATCAACTTAGTCATTGACAACAATGAGTGCTGTCCAGACCTTTTAGAGAAACCCGGGATATGTAAACATACTTGCAATAGATTCAAATAGACATAAGTGGGAATAATTTTTCTATTAATTGCATTTTGCACTTTCCTGGCATTGCTTGTTTTGAGTCTGCCATTGTACATTTAATTATAATGTTAATTTTTTCACTTGTTCCAGATTGCGAAGCTGTTAACAGCATGCTTCGCGACATGTCAAGTATAGTCGATCTGTCCCAGTTTGATGAATTGTTATCAAGTGTTGTGCAAAAAGTGCATAGTTGTACAAAAAAGATGAATGGTTTTGTTGCAAACATTAAGGAAAAAATTAAAGCGTCTCAAATTATCAAACCGAAATCGAAAACCAAATCTGGCAGTCCTAAATCGGAAGCCTCAAAAAGTAAGTATAGATTAAAGATGCTAACTAAAAAACAAGAAGAACGCTATCAATTTGTTAAAATGCATGTTAAAATCCATGTTTAGCCCTGCTATAAATTAAAGCTAGTGGTCTCGAATTAAGCACTATTTGAATAGCCTAACATTAGGTAGATACTTGAAAAAAAACACGTGCGACTCAAAAACTTTCAATTTGAAAACAGTACCCTTTCTGATGTCGCTTATAATTGCTTATGAGAGTGCATTTTATTACAATCAATTTGAGAGTACGCACAATGGTAGTAGAAAATAGTCAAATAATAAATAGCTTTTCCTAGTTAAGGGGGGCCATGATGGATTTTTGGCCCTGGTTATTTTGCGGTGGGGTAATGTTAAATGTGTTTTGGATTAGTGGGTTTGAATGATTGAGGACTTTGGCTTTGAATTTGGAGTGTTTTTTGGTGAGGAATTCCTGTATGGTGTCCATTTTCAAGTCTTTGTATATGTCCTTGTTACGTATGTACCAGGGAGCTCTGCAGATGTTTCAAATGATTTTGTTTTGTACAGTTTGTATTTTATTTATGTTGGATTTGCAGGTCGTGATGAATGCTGAGGCGCCGTAAAGAAGCTGTGGTCGAATAATTTGTTTGTATAGGAGAAGTTTGTTTTTGATGGTAAGTTTGCTGTTTCGGTTTAGAAGGGGGTGGAGGGCTGCGCGTGCTGCTCTTGCTTTAGTGATTTTATCTTTGATGTGTTCGGTGAATGTTAGTTTTTTGTCGAGTAAGATACCTAAGTATTTTGCTGATTTGGACCAGGCGATGTTTTCGTTATGTCTAGTGATGAGTCTTAGTTTGTCTGTACGTTTCGTGGTTATCATAAGTGTTTGTGTTTTTTCCGCGTTGATTTTAATTTTCCAGGTGTCTGTCCAGTCTGTGAGTTTGTCTAAGTATCTTTGTAGTTTTGGTGGAATGTATTTGGGGTTTTTGGCTGTGAAGTAAAGACAGGTGTCGTCGGCAAACAGGGCAATTTTGGTGTCTGGGTATTCTGAGATGTCGGCTGTGTAGGTATTGTAAAGAAATGGGGAAAGGGGGGATCCTTGCGGAACTCCCGCTTCCACAGTTCTTAACGTGGAAAGGTGATTGTTTAAACGGACCCGGAATTTTCTGTCTTTCAGAAAGCTTGCCACAAACTGCACAAAGCTAGTTGGCAGATTGTAGAGGCTGGCCAATTTCCAGATTATTCCTTCGTGCCAGACGGTGTCGAACGCTTTTGCTATGTCCAGGAGAATTTTCCTGGAGTCCAAGCGCGGCGTCTTCCACTAGTCTGGCCACTTGCAATTCGGAGTCGTGATTTCTCATGAAACCGAATTGTTCGTGGGGGATTCCGCTGTTGTAGGAGATTTTATTCAAGAGTCTTTCTTTGAAGAAATTCTCCGTAACTTTCGAGAAGGTGGGCAGAAGGCTAATTGGGCGCCAGTTTTGGGGGAAGGTTTTGGTTTTTCCTGGCTTTGGGATGAGAGCTATAGCAGCTTTTTTCCAGCTACTAGGAAACTCGCGGAGTGCAAAGGCACTATTTATCAAGGTTAGGAGGTTTTGTAGGATGTTTTCTGGGAGCATTTTGATCACCCTGTTTGAGATTTTGTCAATGCCTGGAGCGGTTTTGGTCTTTAGTAGATGTATTTGGGATTTTAGTTCGTCGATTGTGACTGGGGGGATAGTTTCGTCGGGATCATTTCCTAGTGAGTAGTCGACTCTGAACTGATTTTCCAGCGAATCCGCAAAAGCTTCCGCTTTTCCTTCATCGCTGTAGCCTAGTCCATGAGGTTCGTGAATTGGGGGATAGTTTGTAAAGGATTTTCTTTGGAACTTCTTGGAGAGCTTCCATACCAAATTATCACCAGGCTCCAAGTTCTCCAGATAGTTTTGCAGTTTACGTTGTTGATTGCCGAAATTTGATTTCTAATTTGGTTTGTGAGTTGATTGGCCTGGCGGTTGAGAGAGTTATCAGAGTTTCTTTTTACTAATCACTTAAGGCGATTTCGCAATTTGATTTTGCTTCTGATTTCAAGAGGAAGGCCAAAAGGTTTTTTGTTCGAGTTTGGTTTGAAGATGGTTGCTTTTTGAGTGGCCTCGGTGATTTTTCCGGTGATGGAATTGTTTAGTAAGTTGAGTTCTTGGGTTGAGTTTATTGGTGCGTCTGGGATATTTGTTTCCTGTAGGAAAAATCTGAGGGCGTCCCAGTTTATGTAAGTTAGTGGTTGGAGCGGGTTTTGTATGAAGTTTTCGTTCAAGAAGATTTTGATTGGGTTGTGGTCAGAGCTGAGTGAGTAAGAATTTGTGATTGACAAATTGAGAGCTAGGTTTTTGGACAGAGCTATGTCAAGAATGTCTGGAGTGTCATAGTGAAAGTAGGTGGGTTCGTCTGGTGCATGAATTTGTAGGTCTAGTTCGTTGGAAATTTTTAGAAGTCTGGTGCCTTTGAAATTTGTAATTTTACAGCCCCAACTAAAGTGTTTGCTGTTTAGGTCTCCAGCTAGGAGAGTGGTTTCGTTTGGATGAAAAAAGACTTCATGGTATAACAGGGTGGTTGTCTTGTTTGGAGGTCTGTAGGCGGAGATCAGCTGGACTGAAGTGTTGTACATTTTGAGTTTAATGGCTGTATTTTCAATTATTGTATTGAAAGGGGGAATTTGTGTATGAGCTATGGACTTTTTGACTATTATGGCTGTTCCACTGCCTTGAGTGATTCTGTCTGTACGGTAAGTAGTGTGATTATTTATGTGGAAGTGGCTGTTAGGTTTAAGGAAGGTTTCCTGCATGAGAGCGATGTCCACATCGTTTTCCTTAAGGTACGCCTCAAATTCGCACTTTTTGGTGTACAAGGATGCGGCGGTCCAGGAGACGATATGGACACCTTAGGGTTTAATGCTATTGCTTAGCATAGCAAGGCCGGTTGCTCCCTTTGCCCATGATCTAAATAGGTGAGCTAAGTTGTCCATTACCTGGGCAGTGGCCTAACATGGACGACATTCGCGAACTAGTCATACGCACGACAACGTCAGGAGATAATCTTGAAATGGTGGTAACATAAAGTTTTTTTAAGTGAATCACCCTATATATTTTTTAAACATACCAGAAGGAATTTTTCTCCTGATTTCATAAATATATTTTTTTCCTATATTTGCATTAGCTTTTTTCCTATATTACATTCAAAAAATTATAATTAGCAACAAATAAAAGTAGCCATGAAATTCGACAAGGCGCTCCCTCCACCCCATAACGTTCGCCTAGTAACACTTTTTCTTAACAAAAATGTTGATATCTGGATTGGACGAGCGGGTCCGATCCAGTGGCCTCCAAATAGCCCCGACCTAACGCCTCTTGATTCTTTTCTCTGGGTTTATTTCAAGAATATTGTGTATGAAAATCTAGTTAGACGCCTTAAAATAGTGGATGCAATCCACGATATCAATATTAATCAGAACCAATTAATTCAAAACATTATAGATAAAATTGAAGTAGATTATAGAGCATATCTAGCGTTAAACGGATGTAAGAAAAAATCTATGAATATATATTATATTTAGGAATGTTTTCCGGGCTTTGAAGCCGTGGTCTATCGGAATTTCTTCCTGACGTTTCGTCCACAACTGCGGTGGACATTTTCAAAGGCGATGAGGCAGTGGGCGAAGTGATCTCCCGTGCTTTCCGACTAAGAATGATGGCGAATTTCTAGAAGATATTATCAGTTGAAGATCGAATTTTAACTTTGTTATTACGCATTATTTTAAAATTGTTCCATGTTTAATTGGTAGCATATTGGAATACTTAAGTACTCAAAAAGAAAAATTACGACCTTTGTATAATTGTAATAATAATTTGTCAAACTGTGACTCACTTTTTACAATTTCCATTCGTGAATTTGCGAATATGCGATTAGTTCAGGGGAAATGCTACAGTAACATAGCAGAAGCTGAAAGAACTCACGCCAACAAAGGCCGAGGAGAGTGGTGCCAGGAAGATACTGAACGACAATAGTTCTTCGGGTTTCAAACACAGAGGAACAAGTATTGGAAATAATTACAGAAGAGCCTTTCAGGGGCACACAGAACATTGCACAACAACTGACACTTTCCCAGGCACCAAATAAATACCGGCTACATTCCTACCACGTATATAAGATCACATTATACCAATGGATTACTGAACACCCGTATAAATTAAGCATGAGTTAATTAACCGAATACGAGAAGTTACTAGAAAAAAGTGCATGATAAGGTGATTATACAGGCACTTGTTTGGAGTTACAAACTCAAATGTATGCTCTTGTACTTTGTAAACAATTTAATAATTCGTGGTTATGAGTTTAGAAATAGGTTCGGTCATTCAACGATTCCTGTTGAATTTACCGTTTATCCTTGTCTATCTTATGGTCACTCTCTATTTATCCATGGTTACCGGAGTTTTAAATAATTAAGAAGCAGCAGGTATTTATGTAATATCAATTAGGCAGATTACCTTGAAAAACATTGTTGCCGTTTTTCTAATATGCAATGCAATTTGCTCAGTTTTTAATGACAATTAATTTTGTTTAGTAATTTTTCTGCACTCTTCAAACACTGCCAGACAACACCTCCAAAGGAATGACGCCAATTTTTAATCACCCTATATATAAAGGTAGATTTAAAATGACGTTATGGTTTTTAAGTGGCATTAGGGGCTCACAAAATACTATCGGGAGTACAGCAAGGATTCTGTCGCCAATTCTGTTCAAATTTACATCGAATTCTTCTTCTTCAGGTGCCGTCTTCTACTGAAGGTTGGCCACCATTTTGGATATCTGTATTTTTGAGACCACCACGGTAAATAAAAATCTGGTACTTTTTCCATACCACTCTCTTAAGTTTTTAAGCCACGGTGTCCGGCTTCGTCCCGGTGCTCGTCGCCCTTCAACTTTTTCCTGTGTTATTAGTTGAAGGAAGCGGTATTTCTCGCCTCTCATAACATGTCCAAAGTATTCGAGTTT